CGTATTAAATGGATCATCCGACAACACTGGTGGAGCGCTCGCAGTGTGACAGGAAATAATTCTCTGCTGCCGTGCATGGACAGAAAACCTTGAAGAAGCTCGTCACGCTGAAATATGTCCGTCTTATTGACAGCTGCTGAATTAACGGCGTGTATATTTCAAGCCTCTGCGTCAAAATGCCTGCAATAGGAATGGTCTCTTAATGGCAGTTCTTCACCTAATGTGTACAAACCTGTATTTTATACTATCCATAAACAGCAGTCTCTCCATTAACATTTAAAAACATGATAGGAGCCGTACAGCCCTTTTCCATGCTTGCCTCGAATTGTGTATAATCACAACCTTTTACGGCACTATCATGTAATATACATCTTTCTCTACAGGACAATCTAAGCCAGGGGGGGCAAACTCTAATACACAGTGGGCCAAAATAAAAAAATGGGTACTAGTCGAGGGCCGGACTGGTTCAATGTTTATTGCAGAACTTATTGAAATGAACTTATTGCACATATTAAACCTGGAACTAACAAAGCTTAAATGATTGCCTATAAAAACAACATTAAACATTAAATAATCAGTTGCATTCATTTCATCTGCAGCTTTTCCAGAGTCATTTCTTATGATTACATTTCTCCACAGGCCAACAACAGCTTCAAGAAAACTATTTCCCTCAAAGAACAAACCAAACATGCTCTGTTGTCGTGAGAGAAAGTGCAGAAGGAAACATCCATGTAAACTCAGTGTGCTGCTCTGTGATGCTAGTTCAAGCAGATACTTGGCATCTCATCTCGGGTGCAAGGTCATCAATGTTTGGGGTCAGGCTCTGAGCGGAGGAGACCCTCAGGATGGAGAGAAGGTGTGCGTGCAATATACCGGCGGGCCAGATCTAATAGTAATTAGAAATTATCCTACGGGCCGAAATTAAATCCACCACGGGCCGGATTTGGCCCCCGGGCCTTGAGTTTGACACATGTGTGCTCTAAGCTATGAGAATATGTATTCTGCAGGGATGTGACATGAATCTAAGAATAGTTGTTAGGACCATTAAGACAAAGGAAAATGAGATGGAAATTGAATCTCGCAGAAATGTCTTCAGAGAAAAATAAGTTTGAAGACTTTGGATTAAATGTTCTTCCGAGTCTTTTGAAACAATTTGAAAACAGAAGAAAGGTCTGAAGCTGGTCTTTAAGAGGCAGTTTAAAGTGAGACTGCAGCTTTCTCTGTTCTGGAGATATCTGTCGTATCGTCCACCTCCCAGTGTTTCCCAGCTGCATATCCCTTTTTAAATTAATCAAATTAAGAGTCATATCTATATACAGATATGATTGATACATCAGAAACTAAATCACGTTGCAGGATTCCTGCTCATTAAAACCGTAAAATTAGATAATTTGTGACAGTCATATTTATAACCAAGGCAAATGGTGCATTCAGGTGCTCCTCCTCCAAGTTGGGAAGTTTCTGAATCCAACTTTGGTGTTTTTATGAGCTACAAAGAACGAGTTAGAGGCACTATTCTGCTTTGGGGTTTTTCCCTTCCCTCTAGTGTTCTATTCAGTGCATGTAAATGGTCTGCAGAGGCTACAATTCCCGTGGGAGTTTCTCTAGATTTCACTTTGCTGTGTGTGTGTGTGTGTGTGTGTGTGTGTGTGTGTGTGTGTGTGTGTGTGTGTGTGTGTGTGTGTGTGTGTGTGTGTGTGTGTGTGTGTGTGTGTGTGTGTGTGTGTGTGTGTGTGTGTGTGTGTGTGTGTGTGTGTGTGTGTGTGTGTGTGTGTGTAGGGGTTAAAGAGTGGTGTTGTTGTCACATGCTGTCAGCTCTGTGAAAGCGTAACCTGGAGGATACCTGACAGCCATCTGGCTGTTTATTTTTCCTTTCGACATCTCACACACACACACACACACACACACACACACACACACACACACACACCACACACCCACACACACACACACACACACCCACTTACAAACACTCAGTGGGAGATCAAGCCTGGTAGAAAGGCTCTCGCGTCTGTTTAGCTTACTTTAATGACGTGCATAGTCTAGCAGCAGCACATCTGAACAACATGGCTTTAGTTTGAATAATTAACATTTTAATTTGACTTTTTATGCTTTTATTGTTGTACCTTGAACTCAGTGTGTTCTCTGGAAACAATGACGACCGTCACGAGAGGCTAAAACTGCTTCTGTAACGACTTCTTGCAAAAACCCTCCAGACTCTTCACAACACTGGGATTCATAATTTAGATAAACAGCAATATTCATTATATGTTATATGCACACACATGTTCAACAGCCTATCACAGGGGGGTCAAACTCAATTTCATCGCGGGCCACATCAGCATCATGGTTGCACTCAAAGGGCCGGTTGTGACTTTAAGACTATATAAAAATACATATATAAATGTTTAATATATATAAAATAATGTATTATATTACATCATTGCATCTGCATTGGATTATTATGGGATAGGGTAATAACTTCATAATTAACTACGTCTGAAAGCAGAAGTCTAGGGCAAATAATTGCAAGTCTCTTCAGTGAGAATGTCACAATATGATTTAAAAAGAAAAGCCAAATTCTGAAGAAAAAGTCAAAAGTGACATTTTGAGAAAAAAAGTCAAATTCTAAGATAAAAGTCAATTTTGAGATGCATTGTGGGACATGTAGTTTATGGGCAAGGTGCTTCTGTAAATCGGCATGTAACCGTATAGTAAACATATTATATTCTTGTGGGCCACATAAAATGAAGTCACAGGCCGGATTTGGCCCCCGGGCCTTGAGTTTGACCCCCCTGGCCTATCAGATGCATGCAAGTGAAATCCCCAAAAACTGCACAAATGAAATGCAACGAATGTGTAAAAATGGACGTAATCGAGTCAAGAAGAACAAAGACCCAGGAATTAGTCAGCATCAGCCCTTCCTGTCCCCTGGTTCTGGAAGTCAATGGTTTTCTGATTGAGTTTTTGCAATTGATTTGTTTGGAAAAAATCTGTATATTTCCAGTGTAATGATTCAGACTTCTGTACAAATGGAGATAATTACTTTATATAACTGTAACTTAAAGACGTGTTGTAACGTCACATGTTTTATATGCATTGGACGCCAGCAACGAGAACAACTTGTAGACGATTTAGAGTTCATTTGTACTGAAAAATCCGTATTTTTGCAAACACTATAATGATTTTCTGCCAGTTTCCTCTCCCTCGGGTCTCGGATCATATTTATATTTAGATAAAACTATTTTAAAGCGTGTCTCGGCTTAGATGTTGTACAAATATCATGCAACAAATGGAGGTAATTACTTTATATCACTGTGACCCAAAGATGTTGCATTGGACGCCAGCAACGAGAACCATTTTTAGAAGATTTTGAAAGGATTTGTATTGAAAAATCCATATTTTTGCAAACACTACTGCAGTGTAAAGATTTGCTGCCGGTTCCCTCTCCCTCGGGTCAGTTTTAGTTCAAACTATTTTAAAGCGTGTCCTCTCTTGTTGAGCTGCAGGACATTGAGACACATTTAGCGTTTCAGAGTTCAAAGCTGTCCGTTTGGAGGCTGCAGGTTGTTATATGTTACATACTCAATACTGTGGGCAATCCCCACAGGAGCAATTTGGGGTGAAGTGTCTCAGGGACACAACGACATGCTGACTGCAGTGGGGTTTGAACCTGTGACCATCTGATCCCCATACCAAGGCTCTATCCACTGCGCCACATGCCTCCTTGTTAAGGTGGCAAGCCAACAAACAGTTAGACGAAACGATGAAGATGAAGGAAGCTGTCAGGAGGAAGAAAGAGACCTTATATTCTCCCAGAGGAACTCCTGAATCAGCAGAGGAGAGGAGAGGAGCTGGAAGAAGGCAGCTGTGTGGAAAATGTAGAAATACCATTAATTATATAACCATTGTTGCTACGGACTGTTTGAGGCTTATGATAGCTATGTGATTAACATGATGATTCAGCCTCTATGGAGATAGACATATGACAAGCATGCTCATTTCTGACGTGGAGCTAATCTGAAGTAAACATTGAATACTGCTTTCTATTCCTCCATCTTGTGACTGTGTAACTCCCTCTCTTGGATATCAGCATGTGAAGGACACTGTTCAGGAACTAGTTGATGCTCTGTATGTGATGACTACTTCCATTCTGGAGAGGATCACAGATACATGGATCCTGATGTTGAAGATCAAGCCGGTGACCAGGGATTATTAACATTTTGAGATTTTGAGCAAAAGTCATAATTTTTGGGAAAATTTCGATTTTTGAGAAAAAGTCAGAATTTTGAGAGAAAATGTCAGAATTTAAAGAGAAAATGTCAGAATTTGAGATTTTGAGAAAATGTCAGAATTTTGAGAAAAAGATCCGCATTTTGAGAAAAATCTGAATTTTGAGAAAAAGATCCGCATTTTGAGAAAAATCAGAATTTTGAGGAAAAAAAGAAAAAGTCAGAATTTCTTTTTTTTGTATGTGATGACTACTTCCATTCTGGAGAGGATCACAAATACATGGATCTTGAGATTGAAGCTCAAGCCGGGGACCATTGATTATTAACATTTTGAGATTTTGAGCAAAAGTCATAATTTTTTAGATTTTGAGAAAAAGTCGGAAAAAATTTCGATTTTGAGAAAAAGTCAGAATTTTGAGAGAAAATGTCAGAATTTGAGATTTTGAGAAAAAGTCAGAATTTTGAGAGAAAATGTCAGAATTTTGAGAGAAAATGTCAGAATTTTGAGAGAAAATGTCAGAATTTGAGATTTTGAGAAAAAGTCAGAATTTTGAGAGAAAATGTCAGAATTTTGAGAAAAATCACAATTTTGAGGAAAAAAAGAGAAAGTCAGAATTTTTAGAAAAAGTCAGAATTTCTTTTTTTGTATGTGATGACTACCTCCATTCTTGAGAGGATAATAAATACATGGATCCTGATATTGAAGCTCAAGCCTTTGATATTTTTCGAACAGATTGGATTAAATATCGTTACCTCCTTCTCTTTCAGGGGCAGGCGGAGTTTCCCGTGGACGAGCACCAGAACTCCTGCTATCTGTTCTGGGTCGTGGAGAACCTTCTGCAGGACTCTGACGTACCGTTAAGTTTGGAGGAGGCGTCGGAGAAGACCGTTTTCCTCCGTCACCTGGAGCGAGCCTTCCAGCTGTCGGAGGAGTTTCCTCTGTTTGTGATCTGCATGTGGAGGATCGGAAGCCTGCTCACCTCCTCCGACACATAACACACTTTCAGACGCAAACGTAGGACGCAAAAAGGTTCAAAACAGCAGTTAACTTTGGCCAAAAACTGTTCAGATGCTCGGGAGAACTCACAGCTAGTGGACTGAAATGCACTGAAGCTGAACATCATATTTATTATCCAACAGTGTACCAGGTAAGGAAAGCTGACATTAAAGGTCGACATTTACATAACAGATGTATTTGTACATTTGTAAGAGGATTTTAATGTATTTTAATTGTTTTGTTGTGGCTGTATACAATCAATGTTTCCAGGAAGTGTCAACAAATACTTCTAACTTTTGACCGGAAGCTCAGATTTATTTACGCCTCTGTTTTTACTACACACATGTATTTATCGTCACAAAAATCTGCAAACCAAAATAAACAAGATGATGCAGTACATCATATGTTATCCAACAATATTTGACCTGAAGGTAAGGAATGTCGTGCTGGGACAACTGACATTAAAGGAGAATTTGAAGGGATTCAGACTAAAGGTCGACATCGAGGATTCTCTCTCTGTTTACGCTTAAAAAAAACAAGGTGTTCTTTAAAGGTCCCATGTCATGGCCATTTCTACTGATCATAGTTCCATTGTTGAGGTCTACTAGAATAGATTTACATTGTTCAATGTTCCAAACTCACATTGGTTTCTCATACAGCATCTCTGTATAGTATGTGTATTCACTCTCTGTCCTAAACGGCTTGTTGGAGCTCCTGCCCCCCCCCCCCCCCCCCCCCCCTGTGAGCCCAGTGGCCGTCTGCGAGACAGCAAGACACAGCGAAACCCAGCCCGAACACACTCACACACCGACTCACAGCCTCGCCGCGTCCCGCCGTCTCAGGGAGGAGAAATCGGCGGAGCTGCAGCTGAGAAAAGATTGAGTGAGTGTGTGTGTGAGGAAGTCCGCTGATTGGTCAATTTGGACCAATCCACGGACTTAACGTAACGGCTCCACGGATTGGTCCATTTTGACAAATCCACGGACTTAACGTAACGACGACCCCTCCGTGGATTGGTCAAAATGGACCAATCCACGGAGGGGTCGTCGTTACGTCACTTGGTTCCCGGGAAGAAAAAAATTGAAAAAGAAAATGTCCAACGAGGCGTTCTGGGGCAGCAGAGACAGGTCTTCTCTGTGTTAGAGTTTTACTCCCTACAGGGTGTACTTTGAGGGTTTGTGACTCTGCAGACCGTTCACATGCAGAAACACCTTCATAACACACAAGGGGACGGGTAAGAACCGGAAGAGCATGACATGGGACCTTAAAAGAACTAATGGATTTCAAGAGGATTTTAAATGCAATCAATGTTTCCAGAAGCTGACAACATGTTTTGAAAAGATCAACATCCAGGCTCTGTTTCCGAGACAAACAACAACCTTGTTTTTACTATAAAAATTGATCAACAGTCACAAGAAGCTGTAAACAACAATAAACAATATCCACAACAAGATGAAGCCAACATGCTGTACGTAAGGTAAGGCATGTGTTGCTAGGTCAAGGAATACTAAAAATGAGAGTTCTTTAACGTCAACGCGAACAAAAGAGATATTCCTCATTTAAAGAGGATTTCAATGTTTTATTGAGGCTTTGTGTAATCAATGTTTTATTGAGGCTTTGTGTAATCAATGTTTTATTGAGGCTTTGTGTAATCAATGTTTTATTGAGGCTTTGTGTAATCAATGTTTCTAACAGTTGGCCTGAAGCTCCTGATTTCACCAAATAACATTTTTACCCCAAAAAGTACTTTGCAGGATTTCTTCACCTGTTGCTTCTGTCTGCTTCTACTAACGAGGTGAACAAGCTCTGCATTCAGGTGTGGAGAACAGGTGTTTGTATATATACAGAGCCTTGCAAAAGTATTCACCCCCCTTGCTGTTTTTCCTATTTTCTTGCAAAGAAAAACAAAAATAATATAATATTTTTGGGGGGATTTTATGGCAAGACCCCAAACAAAGTCAGTCAAGATTGAAGTGAAAAAAAAAGAGCATCTTTTAAAACATAACAAATAATTAAGAACTGAAAAGTGGTGTGTGCATATATTCACCCCCTTTGCTATTTAGCCCAAACCAAGACCTTCAGAGTCACACAATTATTTAGATAAAGTTCACCTGTGTTAAATCAAGAGCCTCATTATCTCTGTATATATACACCTGTTGTAGAAGGCCTCCGTCCTCCATGCCACAGCAAGTGGCCTTTCTAAGCGAGAAAACGACACCATGAAGACTAAGGAGCTCTCCAAACAGGTCAGGGACAAAGTTGTGGAAAAGTATGAGAAAGGGTTGGGTTATAACAAAATCTCACAGACTTTGAACATCCCACGAAGCACCATTAAATCCATTATTTTAAAATGGAAAAGATATGCCACGACAACAAACCTGCCAAGAGAGGGCCGCCCACCAAAACTCTCACACCGTGCAAGGAGAGCATTGATCAGAGAGGCAACAAAGAGGCAGAGGATAACCCTGGAGGAGCTGGGAGGCTCCACAGCAGAGAGAGGAGAATCTGCACATAGGACCACAGTAAGCCGTACACTCCACAGAGCTGGGCTTTATGGAAGAGTCGCCAGAAAGAAGCCATTGCTTAAAGTGGACCTATCATGCTATATTTGAATAATATAGTGTAGGACCATACCTATATAAGGCATATTTATACTTTTTTATTTTCAAAATAACAAACAGATCATGCATTTTAGCCATGCCTCATTTCGCTCAATTTGACCATTTCTAGCTCTGGGCTGATTCAGTGAGAACAGCACCACCTACAGGCCTGGCATATGTACTACAGCGTCTCCAGCGCTTTCGAACAGCAATGGCCATGGCTGTCTCCTCCTGATTGGTGGAGTTGGCCCAATAGCCGTAGCGCCACCGTCCTGACGTCAGGACAGTGTTCAAATCTGGATCAGTTTTTATCAGATCCGTTGCAGCCCCTTTTTTAGAGATTTGGGTATGGAGGAAAATAGAGAGGGTTGTGTTTTCTGACACTTGGTGAGTTCCCTGGAACACCGGGGACACATATTCATGTAGAAAAGACGTACACAAGTGCATTTTGCATGATAGGTCCCCTTTAAGGCAAAAAATAAGAAAACATGTTTGGAGTTCTCCAAAAGACATGTGGAAGATTCCCCAAACATGTGGAAGAAGGTCCTGTGGTCGGATGAGACTAAAATGTAACTTTTTGGCCATCAAGGTAAACGCTATGTCTGGCTCAAACCCAACACCTCTGATCACCCTCAGAACACCATCCCACAGGGAAGCAAGGTGGTGGCAGCATCATGTTGTGGAGATGTTTCTCATCGGCAGGGACTGGGAAGCTGGTCAAGATCGAAGGAGTGATGGATGGAGCTAAATACAGGGACATACTTGAGGAAACTGTGTTTCAGTCTGCAGGAGATTTGAGGCTTGGGCAGAGGTTCACCTTCCAGCAGGACAATGACCCAAAGCATACTGCTAAAGCAACGCTAGAGTGGTTTAAGGGGAAACATGTAAAGGTTTTGGAGTGGCCTAAAAGCCCAGACCTTAATCCAATCGAAAGTCTGTGGTATGACCTAAAGATGGCTGTACACGAGCGGAACCAGTCTAACCTGAAGGAGCTGGAGCAGTTTTGCCAAGAAGAATGGAAACAAATCCCAGTGGAAAGATGTGAAGCTTATAGACACATACTCCAAGAGACTTGTAGCTGTTACGGCCCGTCCACACAGCGGCGTTGAGCAATGTTCAACTTTTGAAGCTTCTGAAGCTTTCGGTGGAAGCGTCAGCCAATCAAATCATATGCCAGTACAAGCTCTAGCCAATCAAACCACTTAAAACATCGAATTAAATTAAATGTTTTAATGCAATAAAACAAGAAAAATGCCAGGGGGGTAAATACTTTAGCAAGGCATTGGATTTAGCATGCACTTCATCCTCTGTGTGCTCGAACGCAGAGGATCCCAACCTGTGGGCCATCTCTTCCTCTCTCTCTATTCATCTCCTCTTCCTCCCTCTCTCTTCATCTCCTCTTCCTCTCTCTCTCTTCATCTCCTCTTCCTCCCTCTCTCTTCATCTCCTCTTCCTCTCTCTCTCCATCTCCTCTTCCTCCCTCTCCTCTTCCTCCCTGCTGCTGTTGCTTATTTTCTGTCTTCAACAATGGCTCTCCAGCTCTAAATGTGTTTCCTGCCACGTCACAAATGACCCGATAGCATCTCCTCTTCCTCCTCTTCCTCTTTATCTCCTCCTCCTTTGTGTCTGCTCTTGGTTCCCAGTCTGTGATCGGCTCATCTCTCATATCCTGTTGAGAGGCGGCGCTGTGGAGAAAACCAAATCGGACGCCGGCACGTGATCTGAAGCTTAATGTTTAGGGATCGACGCCTGCAGGAGAGAAGGGTTTGAAGTCTGTTTCATCAGGAGAGATGAACGCACGGATCATTCATCAAAAACCTGCATACGCCCCAATCAAAAACCTGCACACGCCCCAATCAGAAACCTGCATACGCCCCAATCAGAAACCTGCATACGCCCCAATCAAAAACCTGCATACGCCCCAATTAAAACCTGCACACGCCCCAATCAAAAACCTGCACACGCCCCAATCAAAAACCTGCATACGCCCCAATCAGAAACCTGCATACGCCCCAATCAAAAACCTGCACACGCCCCAATCAAAACCTGCATACGCCCCCCCAATTAAAAACCTCTGCACACGCCCAATCAAAACCTGCATACGCCCCAAATTAAAAACCTGCATACGCCCCAATCAAAACCTGCATACGCCCAATCAGAAAACCTGCAAATAAAAAACCTGCATACGCCCCAATCAAAAACCTGCATACGCCCCAATCAAAAACCTGCACTACGCCCCAATCAAAAAAACCTGCATACGCCCCAATCAGAAACCTGCATACGCCCCAATCAAAACCTGCATACGCCCCAATCAAAAACCTGCATACGCCCCAATCAAAAAACCTGCATACGCCCCAATCAAAACCTGCATACGCCCCAATCAAAAACCTGCATACGCCCCAATCAAAAAACCTGCATACGCCCCAATCAGAAACCTGCATACGCCCCAATCAAAAACCTGCATACGCCCCAATCAGAAAACCTGCATACGCCCCAATCAGAACCTGCCTGCACAAGCCCCAATTAAAAAACCTGCACACGCCCCAATCAAAAACCTGCACACGCCCCAATCAAAACCTGCATTCGCCCCAATCAAAAACCTGCATACGCCCCCAATCAAAAACCTGCATACGCCCCAATCAAAAACCTGCATACGCCCCCAATCAAAAACCTGCACACGCCCCCCCCAATCAGAAACCTGCATACGCCCCAATCAGAAACCTGCATTCGCCCCAATCAAAAACCTGCATACGCCCCAATCAAAAACCTGCATTCGC